TAATAATAATAATAATAATAATAATAATGTGTGAATAACACCCTACAACAACAGTCAGTGGGAGCTGTACAGTTAAGTCCACCACATGATTTTTTCCTCTCAAGGCTCTGACGCTCTGCTGTAAAGTTCAATGAAGACTGGGCTGAGTATCTTTTTTTAAAGGCACTTGTGAGGATGAGACCAAGTGGTGACTATATTAAGCCTACAGGAGACGATAAAGATTGTTAGTGGCTTTCTGCTATTTTGGATAGGCGAGGAAAGACTTTGCATGTTGGTTGCTGCAGCATCTGCCAGAATGCAGGACATTTCAATGCTGCAATATTTTTAGCTCCTTACCTGCCAAGTGCTCCTCACTTTGCCTTCACACTGCTGTTATGTTTTCTAAGTGGCAGTAGCACAGTCATATCATACAATTAAAGCACCCACACAAAAACTCAAATTCACATATCTGGTGTTAGCAATTAATTAGTTTAACCTGAGTGAACACTGCAAATAGCCTTATTTTTAAAACTTACTAACATTGTTTCTTTTAGATGTTTGTGAGAGGAGAAACAAACAAAATCATAAACTCCCAACCTGTCACATACTATTATATTTTAAAAGGAAAGAAAAATTTCCTTCAAGGGAGTTACAAAGTTTACTCTTCACTGTACCGTGCACAGCCATGTAACGGCATGCTGTCACAAAATGCAGGAGCTGTACCGGTGTGTTATACTTGAATAGGTTTGGCATTACATCATCCTCTGCTATTTCCTGTCCTGACCTTGACCCTAAAGCCTACTCTTAGTCCTAGCAATGGATCTGAAAATAAAGTATATTTGCCTTGGCCATTTCTGAAATGGTAATAAGGCAATGATAAAAGTTCTTAGAAATCACAAATTCCTCGAGTCAGAGCCGACTAGCCACCCTGCAGGAGGCAGGTATCCCCTGTGCTGGTCCCCTGGATTCATTCACTGGAGGGATGGCCACTCCCCACCTGAGGCTCTTCCACCAAGAAGAGAAAGATGGGGAGACTGACTGCTACTTCCCTCCCTCCTCCCTGCACTGCCCATCCACTCTGAGCACTCAGATGAAATTGACCTGCAAAACAGCCTCGTTACTTAGCACCCACAGCAGCTGCCAGCACCCTCGGCTTTGGCACACTGATCCCACCACTCCAAGTTAGGAAACTTACTGCAGAAGAGGGGCTGTGCCACTGCCCATGTGCCCCACTGCCGGCCCCCTGCCTGAGCAAAGTCTTTATTTCCCATTGGAGTGAGGTGGAAGAAATTCAAACGGCTGCTGAAGCTGACCAGCTCTCTCCCTGCTATTCCCATGGAAACGTGCAGTTAGGCTCTTTGTGCAGCGTCTGCTTAGGGACCAAGTGCCTCTCAGTTCCACACTGGAAACTCGGGGTGGTGAGGGGGCTCTATCTGCAGTTCACGAACATGCCTAAGATTACAAAATCTGGATCGCTGAGTCCCAGTAGTAACTACTGATCCTGGCAGCATGAGTTAGACACCACCGTGGCTGTGTTCCCTTCCATGTGAGAGCACTGCAGGACAGAAGTCTACCATAGCTACAAACAGCAGTAGCATCTCAGGGTCTGTATTCACCCACGTGTGCTGCTGTAACTGTAACCCTGGCCCAGTGAGGGTAACACAATCCCCTCGTGTCAATACATTAAAGAGATAGAAAATATGCTTTATACTCAGCTATGCCCATGTGGAAATAGAATATACTGTACTACTATTATCACAGTGTCTGCACTGTGATTGCATCAAGGTAACTATTTCAAGAAAGAAACGACACCCCCTCGTCCTCTAAATAGCTCCACTAGGACTAACTCTGAAGGCAGGAGAGGCTTTGGAGGGAGCCTCTATCCCTAAGCATGCCCATACAGTGGTGCTACCATTAGTCTTCAACTACCCTTACAGAAGTCAAACATCAGTTCCCCTCTAGGGGTCAGAGATTTCAGGATCAGCACCAAACCATGTAGTTCTCTCCTGGCTACGTCTAGGTGCACAGGCAGGTCTTGCTGCAGGCTCCCCTGGGTATCACACCCTGCGCAGGGTAGGTATGCAGAAACTGTAAGCTGTAAGCTGTCAAAGAGCATTTTGAAATACTATATTCATTGAGTCTACCCACTGCTGATCCATTTTAAGTAAGGCAGGTTTTTATTCATGGAAGAAAAATTCCTTTCTTTGTACTTTGCCCTGATATTTCCATCTGGCTTGCAGTTCAACTTGTCTTGCAAGCAGTCTTTAAAATAAACAAAGCCTTCCATGATACAAATCTGCCCCTGCAATTAGATCATCAGTCTGGTGCTGAAGAGTAGCTTTCAAAATAGGTAGATTCTTCAAGAACACTGCTCTTTGTGTTGGCAGGTAAGACTTGAACAGGGTTGAATGCCAGATGGCTGAGGAGGGTCACCCTGGCTGTCACTCACCTCTCTGCCCTACACCACCAAGGTCCTGAGACTCAAGGCAACACAGTTATAGTCTTCTTACAACAACAGCAACCCAAAATGAAAGTACAGAGCCCCTCAAATAAATTTGTGTTATTTTGCCAAACAGAGCATTAAAAACCTCTGTGTTCTTCATAAAAGCCGAAAGTCACCTCTACATTCCCACTCCATGGAGTTGCTGTTTGTTCCTTCAAAAAGAAATTGAGGGAATTAATTGTCCTGTCCATGCAAGACCTCAGGTCTTTTTTTTTAATCCACAGGTCCAGCAACTTATCACCTTAATCACAACCACCAAAGATCCTCAACTTCAGTCTGCTTTCAAAGTACCTTAATGAGCTTTAATGAGCTTTACCTCATAGGAGTCTTTATTTGCCTTGTATTTTTCTATCTGGTGCAGTTGGTTCTTGTGGCAAATATTGTCCTGGCCTTCAGACTTCTGTGGAGAGAGAAGTATGGAAAAGTAACATATGTAAGACAACTAGCGAAAATGAATGTTTAGTTACTGATTAATGGACTGTATCCATTCTTGGCATTCAGTTCAGGTGCATCAACTTAGAGAGGCGATGTATTTGGTCCATTACATTTTAAAGATCGTGGATGGCACCATCACTAAAACAAGCTTGCTACAAGAACTGAGAAAAGAAAAAAACTAAGAAGCCACCGTCAGATTGGAAGGCCGTTGGGAATAGTTTCTCTGAGAAGCCAACATATTAAGAAGAAAAACTCCATACAATCCACCTTCCTGCCCGTGCAGTCACATAGGAGCCTACAGACCCTCAACTAGTCAGGACTCCTCGCCAGACCACAGGCAGCTGCACCGGAGAGGCCAAGAGAAGAGAGTGTGCAGCTTCTCTTTGTGTGCCATGCCCATCCTAGCTCTCCAGTAAGTACCATGCAAAATGTGGCCTGAGCGATCAGCTCCCCAGGGTGTACAAGGATGACATATGGCAGCAGACTCCTGCCCTACAGAAAGCTGCTGTGCAAATCCAGCAGCAGTGTTTCTGACCCTCCCCAGCTCCTAAGCTTCCTCTTGATTTCTTCAACTAAATTAGATTGTGTTACTGATATTTCAAGTGGCAGAATTATCTCAGCATATGGAGACAGTATACCACAAGGCACAAGTAAGGCTCTGCATGGCAACAGTTTGCTTTCTACAGGGTAACTGCCTAACCAGAGGGTATCTCCCATGGAAACAGGGACTCGTGAGACATAAAGTCAATCAGCAATTATCTCTGCAATCTTGGGAACTCTTGTCTGAAATAATGTTATTAGCTTGCAAGTAATAATTCCTCTTCGTGGCTACTGTTACAAAATTAGAAAAAACCCAAGCTTCAGGCAAAACCTTGAGATCAAATGCCAGCAAGCAGAGAAATTTTTCTACCGCCCTCACCCACTTGTCCGAAGAAACGGCATCAAGCAGGACTTACCCTAAGGCTTGCCAAGTAGCGCTCCAGCTTCTTATTAAGTAGAAAGTAGATGGCAAGCGTGTGACTTGCCCTGTTTGAGAGCACGGTGTTGATGACATCGCTGTTCTTGTAGCCAAGCTTCTCGGTCATATGGAGCAGCACGCTTTGGCTGAGGTCCTCAAGGTGAATCCTTCACAGAGAGAGAAGAGAGAGCACACCATTCATACCGTCCTACCAGCGACAGAGCCTTGCCAGCCATGGGGGACGTGGTAGAGAGTAAAGAAGAGGCCTGAAAGGCTCAGCAACATGGGAGTGATTAGCTCTCTCCTCTTGTGAGCAGGTATGAGAAGAGCGAGCTATTTGGGAACCACGGGCATTATGGGAAGACGTGATAGCTGAACGAACGGCACTCTGTCTGCTGTGTCCTACCCTGATGCGAAATGGCACCATGATGCTTAGGGTGCCACCATTTGTTACCCTACATCTGACCCGTGAAGACCATCAAGATCATCCATCTGGTTTGGAAGGAAAAAAGGTAAATTCCAGCTCAGGTAGATACACTTGGCTTTCCTTGTACTCAAACACCACTGAATTCAGCTTCCTCCCTTACCTGTTGCACAATATTCATGTACTAAGTATCTAAGGAATTCCATGCCAGAGAAAGGAGACATATGGGGAGGGTTATTACAGCAGCTCTCAAAATGGTAAAACTGCTGCCATACTCATGTCAGTTAAAAGCACATGTACAAGACATATTTATGTATGTGATCTTCTATAAAGTCTATAACAGACTCAGCTAAAGCGAGAAACGGAGCACAGCAACCTTCTGGAAATGGCAAAGCATCTCCTCTGTCTAAGTTAAAACCAGATTTTCCACACAACTCTGCTCCTACTTAGACCTCTAAATGCGCTGGCCAGCTTCCCAGATGTACCCGTCAACTCCCATCCATCTCCAGAGAAATGCTGGGTTTCATTTGGTTGCTAAAGGATATTCCTTGCTCCTGATATCAAGCCTAAAATCTAGCTAAGGCAACTTAGGGGAGCTTAGGTTGTGGGATTTTTAACAACCTGCCTTCTCCTCTCAAAAGGACCATTCTCCACCTTTCCCATTCCTGCCCTGCTGTCCCCCTGTCCTGTGCACCTGTGACGGGAGGAATGCCCACATAGCAGTCTAGGTCTGACATAGAGGACTTCGATAAAATGTCAAACAAGTCTGGAAAACCTCCAGTAACTTTTTTCCTTTATTTGGCACACTTACTAACATTCATTCTGCAGCTAAGGAATGCTTGGGGTTGTTTTTTTTTTACAGTTCAAAAGCAAAAGTTATCTTGGCCATTGCACATTAAAGCATCTGGACAGTAAAAGAAATTCAAGCAATTTCTACTCAGCAAAATAGGAAATTTTTGCTTGCCTTCAGGGAATTCCATTAATAAAAGCAAGCTTGTAAAAAGCTTGGGAGAATATTCTGAAAATGCAGTTTCTGCTGTTTTTCCTTTTTACCTCTGTCCTACCACGTTGCTGTCTTGGGAGCAACAGGTGTTACCCCCAAAAGGGTGGAAGAGCACTGCAAGAACATAACACAGCTTCTTGCTTGTGTTGATTAAGAGAGGAAACGACTCGTTACAAATTCAGCAGTGGATTTTTCAGAACTATTTTGACACATATTACCCACATCTGCACACTAACAAAAACTTAGAGCAACTCTGTTAAAGATGACTTTAGTGGTACTTTCTGAGGCAAGTTCAAAAGGAGTCAGGCCACGCTTTTAAGTAATTCAAACTTTATAGAGTATTGTTTTCCTTATAAGCCCCCAGTATATAGGTAGGTCAAGCTTGGGGCATCAGCTAATTAAACTAAGTATTATCAAAAAAGTAAAGTGAAAGAAAGAATCTGTATAGATTTTATCCTTTACAGCTTCAGAAAATCTGGGTTCAGATTGAAGGAGTATCTATTTTTCTTTTGTTTTCAGACCAAATGATGAGAAAAGCAGTGCAATGAGAAAGAAAATAACCGTGTTGGGGTTTTTTAACAGCAAAGAATGTTCCCTTTAAAAGTGCTTATAATAGGAAAGGATTATTATCAGTCATCACCATATACACATATATGCATGAGCAAACATATGCCCTCTCCATAGTTCGGCACTGCATTTTCTTCTGTTCTTCCATTTGATTCGCTTGCCTTTAGCGGGGAGTGATTAATGGGCACTCCATAAATAAAGAGCATTGCGCGGCTATTCTGTTTAATAGAGGCTGGCCTCTTCTGTAAGTCACCTACCCAACTGCACCAATGAGTAAGCTATAGAAGGGACGCTTCCACCATAGCCTGACTAAAGCCTGACAGCTGCAAGCTAGGAATTGAAAAACTAGAGGCATGGAAATGTACCTACAAATGCAAAAGAAATGTGAAAGCACACTCAAGCCCTATTCCTGCCTCTTTTCCTCTCTTCTGCAGATTAGACATACAGAGCAAGGGAATTAAATTACCCATACAGCTCTCAGTTACACTTACATTCACTTAACAGATGCCACATTTAGTAGATTGATTAGACTCATTATGACAGTGATTTCATTAGCTTAATGACTCATTCAGTTTACACTTGTTTTCCCTTTCTTTACCATACAATGTTCATACATACCATACCTCAGTAAAGTCCAATGCACCATTGACACTCAAATTGCATTTTGTTGGACAGCATACTACGCAAATTAACTCAACTGCTCTTAAATTTGGGCCAGTAATGTGAAGATAATGAGTCTGCCTGTTCTCATTCTTATTCCTTGTGAAACTATTGTTTGCAGGGGCCATCTTTGTATTCTGTCCACGCAGGTCCAGAGATTGCAGGCAGCTGGCTTCACATTTGCCCTCCTCGTTCCAGTGAATGGCCCTAGTGATGCCTCCAGGCATCCAAGCTGCTCAACATCTACCCAGCCGCATTTTGAGAGAGGGAGGCCTATTACTCACCTCAGGTCAACAAACGGCACAGTGTTTCTCCAAGAAGTACTTGAAAGTTAAGACACCACCTCTAGAAGGGAAATGCTAAATCAGGGCACCTCCATTCCCTGTCAATGCAGAGGGAAAAGGGAGGTGACTTGGGGAGGAGCCTGGACTGTGTTGGCTGCAACCCGTAAGCCAGTCAACAGCAACATCAAAGGGAAAGGTCTCCAAAAATTCCTAAAGCCTGTCCCAAGATTCGGGGCTCAAATTTACTTCCTATGCTCATGTCTCAGCAGGATCAAGCAGTGGCAGCGCTTGTCATCTACTTCAGCAGTAAGAGAGGGGTGCTGCAGATACTCTCAGCCCCACAGGGGATGGACCCACGCCTCTGAAACATACCCTGTTGAACTGGCTAGTGATGGAGTGAAAATGAAAACGGGTGTGAAACCCTCTTAGCAGCAAAGCTGTGACCTGGGCCAAATGCTGAAGGCTGGCTGTATGCATGGCTTGAGCAGGCCTACAGGACTGAGTCCTTCAGGGCACCGACACAAAGGCACGGCCTGGCTGGTGAACATCAAATCACTTTTGAGTGGAGGACAGTAGTTCAGATGTTCAGACAAAAGTAAGTCATCGCAACTCTTGGGATAGGCTACATCCAGTATCTTGCAACTGAGTAAACTGCAGGGAGATGTTAGGATCTTCACATGGGGATTCTCCTCTTAACAAGTTAGAACAAAAATTTTGGGACACTATCAAATTTTAAGCATCAAAACTAGACTTTAAGTTGCTGTCTTTGCCTCAGTGCTACTTAGGATGTCGGCCTGCAAGCTAGTAAGCTACTAGACTGTGTATGAGAGACAGCTGAATGGCTGTGATAGAGGAAGGAGGTTTTATCTGATCAAATATAGGCATATTTCTTAGTAAGTTGCCCAAGGCTCCATTTACAGTCACAGGAGAGGAACTTGGAAGTCCTGGGCACAAAGTCATCTTATTGCAGAATCAAAAAGAAATCAGATGAAATCATTCTGTAAAAAGGGCCCTTATTTTTCTCCATTGACTGTAACGACAGCCCAGGCTGTCTGGCTCATGTGTCAAATCTACACTGCAGATGTTTAAAGTCAAACAAGATGATTTCTAATCAAAGTGGACCACAAATACCTACCTTTCTTTCTCCCTACATGGATATTTGATTGGCCATGAGATTTGTTGTTTGCATTTAGTCATGCATTCAGCACTATGCAGGTATTCAAGATCAACAACCAACAAAGCAAGATCATCTAACTCTGACCTTTCTCACCACGGTTTACATATTTACCTAATCCACAGAACCTGAAGTATACGTCACAAAGAAGTATAGCCTCTACTTAAAAAGTATCTTGATTTTTAACTAACGAACAAGGAGAACTACCTGTAACACATCCCCATTCCAAGGTCTGGAGTCATATGATCTTCACTCCAGACCACCCCACAAATAATGCAGCATATGAGAGCTTCTAAAAGGTGTTGATCATGACCATTTCAAGCAACACATATTCAAAGGCCAATCCTAACAACTTTTAGGATGAAGTCATAAAAGCAATCCAAGAAAATGGATTGAGATGCTGTCACACAAATGGAACTGGAACACCAGAGATGTTCATGTTTTAACACATATAATGTATATAGACCCTGGCAGACTCTCTCCTTTCTTTCACACGGTACCTGTTTGGGTATGTGATATTAGGTGGTGGTCTTCCAGGGTAATTCTCATGAAGCCATCGATTTGCAAGTGCCTGCTGGATGTTTGGTCTCTTTGCAGGATCTGGCTCTAGCAGAGATCGTAGAAAGTTTACAGCCGCTGTCAAGAAATCAAGAAAAAAAAACAACAGCTATGTCATTAGCTTTATGACTTAACACAGTATCTGAGTTTCTAGAGGTGTGTAGCCTGATCAAAAGTATATTAAAAAGGAGTGTTTTCCTTATGGTACACTCTAATGTCCTTGAGAAAAAGGAAAAACTGATAAGTAAAATAATGATTTTATAGTCACAATGATTTACAGAGTCATAAAGGAGAAGAGAAAAAGCGCCTTTTGTTTCAGAGCTTGTTTGAAGTTTCTGAGTAGGTTAGCCAAAACTTAATTTTTGTATGAAGACAAGAGCCTGCAGTCAGGTCAGAGGCAAATTACTCAATCTGTGTTTCAAGTAGAAGGACATGGTGAGCAGAGGGGAGGGATACAATGTTGGGAGGGAAGACATGGAGAATTGGGCTCCCTTCAACATTATAAGGATAAATTCTCTCCTGGCTTCCATCCAACCTACAATCAGTTGCAGGAGGTTTTCACCAAATTAAAAGAGTACAGTAAAATTAATGGGCTTCATTCTAGTTTTAGATACTGAACCTTCAACTTTCAGTGACATTCAACCATCCCTCAGAAGTTTCCTTCAAAACCCCTCAAAAGTACTTTTCTGATATTTTTAAGTTATGTGCTTCTTATATGGTTAGGAGTATTGAAATTAAGTGATTCGCTTACAGACTCACAAGAAGTGCTTGTGTGAGCAGAAAACACACCCTGTTTTATCTAGGTCTGGTCTTTATTCCATAAATTACCAAGGCTAGATTTATTTTATCACATATAAGATAGTAAAGAGTTAACTATGTCCTCTGCAATTCTCTGCATAAAATATAAAACAATCTAATCCCAGGAAAACCAAGACTGGAATGATTTTGTAGAGGAGATACAGTCAAGTGAGATGATGCCAAATGAGTCCCGAATGAAGCTGTTGTGAAGCCAGAGAACTGAAGGCTATGGCACAGTTTCCTCCAGGTCAGATGGACAGGACCTTGAGGGCTCTTTTCCACCTTCTTCCACTGCAGAGCTTCAGTTCCCCTCCTACACTCTCTTGACCGTGTGTTAACTGAGGCGCAGTGCTGCTGCCCTTCACAGGTTCTCCTCTGAGACTGCTGCCCTCCTCCACATTTGCTTGGCTGTCCTCCAGAGCATTTTGATCTCCCCAAGTCCATCTGCATCACCCCCACCTGAGGCAGGGGAAAGGATGGCTGGTCTAGCACACCAGGGCAGGGTGGCGGACGAGGGAGGGTGGGTTTCTCCTCAAACAAGGCAGGGTTAGACCTGAGAGCTGCAAACTCCTAACAGCTTGGGAAACCTTGGTGTTCAACATACTGCAAAAATCAAATATCAGCTGGAGACTGCCCTAAGAGGCTATTCACTTCAAGACAGTCAAGAAGCTTATACATGGAAAAGAGAGCATCCCGCTTATGTATTTACTGGTTCAGCCAAGCATTGACTGTGTTTCTTCTAAGCTCTCTCTACAACTCATTGATTTATGTGAGATACTTTACCGAAATCTTACCCAGCGTTATTGTTATTCTCGTGCAGCAATATTGTGGAAGCAGCGGGAAAAGCCCACATCCAAGTTCATAAACTGTCTGGAAGCTGATGCTATGGCTGCTTTCCATGTGCCCTGTCACGTCTCTTAGGTGTGGAAGCCCTCCATTACAGCAAACAACAGACCCCTTGTTCTTCCATTTCATCTCCTCTCTCTCCAGTACTGTGTTAGAAACTGCATGAATCCAACAGGTTCACAGCAAAACAAATAATCCTTCCCCAGACTAACACCCTCACCCTCCATCACCAGACCCTCAGTTCTCAAATCAGCTTAATGTCTCCTTAAAAATTTTATTTTTTATTTTTTTTTTCCTTTGGCAAAAAGCAGACTCATCAAATTAAGCTTGTGAGGCACCACAGAGATCAACAGATCCAGACCACGAGAAACTAGTTCTGGAGAGAAGTTCCCCCTGCCAGGAGGCTCCCTGGCCAGCCAGACCCAGGCGACATGGAGGAGACGAGTAACAGCACCTTGGCTGATTGGAGCTGTCGGATGGTATGAAGAGGAGAGAAGCCTTTTCCAGTTAGCCACCGCGGCTGTGAGACAGAAAAATTAGTCCTCCAGGAAGCAAATACAAAGCTGCCCGATTGACTTTTGGACCTGTTGCATCTGAAGGCATTTTTCCTGCTGCACAAAAGGTGCTTCACAGCACCCCAACGGGGCCTCATTACGTGAGGCCTCATGTATGATGAGCTCCAGGACAGTGCTAATCCAATTAGCTGGTGACCTGCACTCACTGGAGATTTGTTCCGATCCTGTAATTTGGGGGCAAGCTGTGCTCTTTTCACAAATGAGAGACCAGTATCATTGAGAAACCTCATTTCTCTCTTAATTTCCTTGAGCGCGCTGAGCAACACGATAACAAGAAACAGGGCGTGCTTCAGCTGGGGATTACCAGACTTCTGTAGTCTTCATGTTCCTTGTCATGCATGAAATCAACTTAGTGTCTTCTTCAGACTGTGAGAGTGTGTCTGGTTGGCAATTAGGTATACAAGTTATGGCTTACAAAATCGGCCCAAGAAAATGCAATGAGGTCATTTCACAAGCCAAGATCAAGCTCCACCTTGTAAAATCCTTTCTCCAAACAACAGTCATGATGGCTTTTCTTCTCATCTTTGCTTCATTTCTCTGTTCCAGAAGGAAGATCATAAGCATACATAGGCAGTAAATTGAGGAAAAAGAAGGAATGTGTGCAAGGTGAATACTAACTTCCTGAGCAACAGAACTCTGCTCACCTAAAATCAATAATCAGACAGCTGTGTTGTTTAAGAAGCTTAATGAAAAATAGTTTCCTAAATGGGAAAATCAGACACTAACTACAAATTTTCCCCATTGCTACACAGTTGCTTTGGGTGCTCACCACCCCGCAATGTTTTAACCAACACAAAAAACGTATAATCTTGCTTGGTGATAAGACTGGCTACTTTTACAATGGGACTGTGTGTTCAGTAACTGTGAAATTAAATACTGAAAGACAGTATACTCAACAAGCAAAACAGGCTCCTGCAAAAGATCTCTACTCCATATGTGAATTTACAGAAAAAGAAAAACTGGTTAAAGAAAAAGATCCATAAACTCGAGAAGTTAACAAACATAACAATTCACAGAGCAGAGGAGCAGAGTTTCTCTATAATGACCCAAAGCCTAACTGTGACAAGAATAAATGTCATCTTAAATCACAGTTTGCCATGTCAGTGAATGCGCAAGGCCACTGACTTAGATCAAGAACCGATGCGTACCTTTGGTCACAGTGAGTAAAGGTTAATGTGTTTAAATCTATACTGTTAATCTGCCATCATCTCTCAAAGTTCAAGCTCCGATAGTTCGCACAGGATAAACAAAATACTATTTTCACTGGAGACCATAGCATCAGTGAGCTACAAATGCTACAGGGACACATTTGTGAGAAAATCCAACCTCCATTATAAAACGGTAGGATGAATTAAACAGTAAAATAAAACCTGTCAAAAGTAACATTATCTTTTTTGCTACCAAAGGTTTGGTCTTCTACAGGCCATTTGTGGGTGATTCATCCTTCAACACATGAGTTGTCCCAGTTAAGTCAGTGAGATCTCATGGCTAAAGACAACTGAAAGAAAACGATGGTTGGGGAAACAGTCCATTGGTTCAAAGACACTACAGAGCCATCATACAACTGCTCTTTACTGGCAAAAGCCTCACTCTGGGAGGTAAGTTTGGTACATTTTTTGCCAAACTTGGAAGATGTTTACTACAAAACACAAGCCCCTGAATTCAAGAGTAATTTTGCAATTGATGCAGGATTTGACATCTAGATCAGTACAGCATGAAGCCATCAGTATAATCTTTCTTTTAATTTACTCAGTGGGGCTTTGGAGTGTGTGCTAGAACACTACAACAGCCACCTTGTGCAACTGAATCCTTAACAGGAAGTCTCCAGAATGGAAATACCAAACACTCTAATTGTGTTAAATAAGATGCCAAGACTTGCAGCATCCCAGCTCTCTTGTAAACCTACTGCTTTACAACATGCCAGCAGTATAAACTACTGGCAGGAAAGGCGCACTTCGTACACATGCTGAGTAAACAAGGAACAATATACTCTGCTTGATCCACGGATAATCTGTGTGAGAAAACCTTTAACTACCTACTTCTTCGGTATGCAGGTAAATCTGTACTTGGAGAATTCATCTTGTGACACAACTTCCAAAAGCTTTTTCTTTACATACTGTTAACAATAGTTGTGATTCTTAGTGTACTGAGTGAAAAAGTATGCTCAGTTACCCTTTTATATCTGTAATCTTTTCATTCTATTGAATGTCCCTTGTAAACAGGTTGCCAGATAAGGAGAACAGAAGCCTTTCATGAACAACAAATTTAGCATACAAAAATAAAACCTAACTACAAACCAGTGTGTTGCAAATGCTGACAACGGCTTTGCTATAAGGTGAAAAATTATTCTCTTTGTTGCCTGATGACATGGCTTTGGAGCAGGAATTACTATTTCTAGTATCAATACATCAACAATTCTGCCTTTTGTGAACACACAAAGTTTATCACGGGTTACTGTCCCAAAATAACCTTCTGTCTGAAAGTCATTATTCCATAATGAATGTGAGGAGGTCATTTAAGGTAGCTTACCACTCAACCTCAGTCGTGATAATGCCCAGGAATCTGTTATTCCAAAATAATTTGTACATGCATCCATCCTGTACGCTAAAATCATCTGAATGTGCAAAACTGACCCTACTCTACAAAAGCAATTTCACAGAATTTCACAGGTTTGTTCTTCTCTCATATTCAGCACAACTTGGCACTTCTCCAGCTTACATGCAGAAGTCAAAGTGAAAGGAGTTACACTACTGCAACTCCCACAGATCTTTTGGAGGCTAAAATGAAAAAATACATTTTTCACAATTAGCGTGCCGTGCTGTTAGCATGACTCACAATCCAGAATTCAATGCAATGGTTCTGACCGACTGGATCTGAACAGGTCCCAGCACACCCCCTTGACTACCTGTAGAGAGTTGGGTGGGAAAAGGGTTCATTTCTTTGTCCACCATTTTCTGGTACAAAGCTCTCAAGCTGAACGGCTCCACAGTAAAAGGTAATGTTCCAGTTAGCATTGCGTACATGTTCACCCCACTAAAAGAAAACACAGAGAAAAAGAAAACAAAACGATCAGGAACAAGGAATAACTTACACTTAGGTTTCAGTGACTGTATTTCATCTTTAATGTCTGACAACTATTAAAAAAGACCCCCCCAAAAAGCTCTCTCTTCTGTTGCACACAACAATTTGGGCAAGAATTCCCAGGGGTTTGCTCATGCAGGGTCAAACAATGTGTAGGACACAAGCTGGGAGCCACAGAATGGAGCCCAGCTCTTAGGCAACTCCTTGGCTAAATGCCAAACCACAATTAAGTCTCTCCTCAGGCTGCATCAACAAGCTGCTTTTGGAGGCCTTGTCCTGGTGCTGGCCTGGGTATGAAATGACCGCCTGTACCAATGGGGACATTGTGGGTTCAGCACCCAAAGGTGACCTCCACAAGATCTGGTGCAGCCCAAAGATGGGGTGTGAACAATTACCATTTTCAGAGCACAAAAGTTACTGCTTGTTTATGCCCAGCAAAGTCAGCAATGAAAAGTGGGTTGGGCACTCTTGTTCTTTTTTCCTCTTCAAAGGGCTTTAAACTCAACTTGAGTTGAATTCCTCCCTTCCGGGAATTTGTTTCCTTAGTCTGCTGAATGCATGTATGTGAACAGAAAGAAACTAAACTGATGTGCTCGCATGAGCCGTGACCACAGACACCGTTTGTTCAGCTCTGAGGAAGGGCAGGAGTTAACCCTATTTTCTTTTTTTTATTGAAAAAAAGAGCAAGAAATTATTACTGGAGAAGTTTAAATGGTTTACAAGAATGATTGTGCTCTCTTTACCTGCATTCCTCAGGGCTGGTACTCTCAACTTTGATGTGTATAGATGGCCTACTGCTGGACTGAGAAACTCAATAGTCATGCAATGATTTAGCTGTGGGTCTCCTCAGAGGACAAACTGTGTATTAGGTTTCAGGAGGAAGTTCTAGAGAGCCCTGAGAAGCAACAGGGTACCCACCAGATCAAACTAAGAGATGAATTTGACCTAGGTCCTAGTCTTATATATAAACCATGGCCAATCTTTCCTAGCACTAGTAGTACTTACATCGTACCTTACGTTTCCCAAGCATTCCAAATACTTCCAGTTGGGAATTGTCATAATTCTGTCATTTCAATGAAATTTATTCAAATGTTATTATTCCCACTCGGTGAGGGAAAATCTACTGATATTAAAGCCAAAGGTAAAACTCAACTGACTTCAGCTAATTTCTCTCCAGGATTGACAAGGATAAGTGATACCATGTCCATGGCCAACAGGAGGGTTGTGGAGGCTGCACAGTCTGAAACAGTGCTGCAGACAAATTTATTGACTCCAAAACACCTTTCTGATTTCTTCTACCTCTAGCAGTGAGGATTTCTGTGTGATCTTTTGCATGAACACTGTTAAGCTCACAAAAGCTCACAGGTTTTCTGGCCATTTTTATCTCCCCTTTAACGACCATGCTTTCAAAGTGATGACCTGACTCAATCCCACATTTCTCATTGGGCTTGACTGCAGATAGTGCATGAAGCCCATGTGAATCGTTGAGGATCCTTTGGGGAAAACTAAAAAAAAAAAAAAAAGTTGGTATTCTTGGTATTCTTGAGTCAGAGTCATGTCTTCTGCTGTGTCTGAACATCACTGATGAACAGTTGTGCTTTACTGCAGTCTCTCTGTGCTCTATGTTCTAGAGATCTATATACAGGTACTTAAAAATCTGTTTCAAAACAAGTTATCTGCTCAAGTTAATTCACAGAGCTAATTAAACAGATTTTCTTGCTCAGAGTAGCCAAATACAGGAATAATATTTCTTGTTTGAGCGATGGGTAATGATGACAGTAATAACAATTATAAACTAGAAAAGTAACTCACATGGACCAAACATCTATTTTGGGCCCGTATTTTTTTCTTGCCAGAAGTTCAGGGGCTGCATATGCTGGGCTCCCACACTGGGTGCTGAATGGATCAGAATAACCCAAGATGCCTGCACAGTTGCTCAATCCAAAGTCTGTAAAAGGCACAGAGACATAGTTATGAAAGAGATAGATACAGTAAAACCATGCTAGAACACAAGGGGAAAAAATTTACATTTTTTTCCAAAAGCAATGAACTGCCTATGAAAAAAATCATCCATGTGCAAAAATTTTATGTAATTTCTTTCTCCATAGTGCTACATAACCAGAGATTTCCACAAACATGAGAAAAGCCTTAGAACATGTAAAATTATCAATTTAATTCACAAAGCAACTACATTTCATTGGGAACTGGATGGCAACAACTGGAGTTGAGCTTGTCCCAGGCACTACATGATGTGCACGGGACAGAGAGCCACCTTGGGCTGTTGTGGATTCCATCCTGCTGCAGTATGTTACACAGAAGCCAATGTAAGCGGGACTTCTTTGACATTTTCCTCTAAGACTTGTAAATGAGCCATCAGATGTAAGGTGCAGGGCGTTGTTTTCTGAGAGCTGCACAGACACACAGGGTTGCCAAGTCAGCATTTCAGTTCTGAAATAACAGGCAGAGATCTTGGAGAAAGAAGGGGAATGTGTTGATTTGGTTCTCCCTTCCCTGACTTCTGCTTTGAATTATTGCAATTCTGGCCTCTGGGTGTATCTGATGCTCTTTTGCTGGCACTAAATAAGAAGGGACTGGCAAAGGCTGGCACCACGAGCTGATCAGAGACAAGAGATAGCCTCTCCGTGGCGAAGGAGGCTGCTGTTTCCCGAGTGCTCTCAGCCAACCCAAGTCCAGGCTGGCACCGAGAAGGGTGTTCCTGCAATCTCCCTCATCTGCTCCAGTGCTGGTCTGGCTACAGGCTGGGCTTAAGAAAAGTTCTTCAGAAATAAACCACTAAGCAAGGAAAGAAAGGAAGGCAGAGTCATGTCAGCAGCAGAAGCAGCTGCGGGCAACAAACAAGTCCACCCTGCCTAGTGGTAGCCCATGCTCGGCTTGGGAGAAGATGGTTATGAAACCATAGCTTGAGAGACAACATGGGAAGGTGGGGAGAGGTTGCAGAAGGTCTTAAAGTTAAGTCAAACAACTCAACGTGATAAGGCGAAGAAGCATGACAAGCTTGCAAGGAGGATGACATGGGCAAAGCTGAGAGAACAGCCTTTGCTGCAGGGCAACATCAAGAAGCAGGGGATCTAGAGAGGTCACAGTCAAAGATGCCCACATTTATTAATAACTTGTTAATGATGACAGCTGCAACGTATTGCTATTAAGAACATTGACATCTGTTTCTTTCCTTTCTTTTTTTTTGATCCAGTTGTCTTAAAAAATTCCCAGAACGCATGCATATTTAAAATGAAAACTGTCTTGTACAGGCAGTCAGGAGAAGCAGACTGATGAATTCCCTTCCTCTAGGCTAGTGTCTTGCTTCCCTGTGTCTCGTAAAACAGCATCTCTCTGCGTGTGCTACTCACCTGCCTGGCTGGGCTGAAAGCATCACATCTTGCAGGGTGAATGCAGCAGGCAGCTGTTGAGCCCATGCAATACTCTCTCTCCACAGAGTCATTAATTTGGGCCTCTCTCCCTTATCTGCTTACTTATTTGTGTAAGACTTGAAGTAATGGTCTGTTCCCTAGCTTTTACCCCATGTTAAATTTGGCTGACATCATGCAGGAGTTCCTCTAGGTATCAGTAGCATGCTGACACGGTGGAGACATAGATCTTGATCCCTCACAAAACCAGATGAAAATAATAATAATGCTTACAAAAAAACTTGCAGTTATAAAGAAGAGTGAGTGAGCTGGAGTGCCCAAATTATTGCAGAGGCTTTCCACTCGACTGGCTGCATCTCTGAGAGCAAGACAAGCACAAGAGAGACAAGAATCACCATATCTAGCATCTAAAGAGGCTCAAAGAGGTTTTGCTGGAGAATATTGTCAAAACTGAAGGGAGGATCAAAACAATTTCCTTGCCTCTGATGGAAAACAATTGTCTCTGGACACTGCTTAATCATCTCTGCTCAATATGTATTATCCCTGGGGCTTATGCAAATACTTCTGAGGATCCATGTACTTAATTAACGTATTTATTAGCTAGAGCCTTAGATGAGTTATGCCAACTGTAAAATACTTCTAAAAACTCCTAAACATAACATCGCCACACAGTATTCACGGTCTTTACCCAGTTGTGTCACACCACCTCAAAATCACTCAACTGTAATATAATGTTTTACAATCAAAGTATCTAAGGGCTATATTCTGAGATGGTGTAAATCAGCATCCCTTTATCATCATCAATGGAAGTATACTCTGGTGGAGATATTCATTATGTTATTTGCTTAAACACCTTATTAATTTTTTCCAACTCTTTCAGTTAATCACTTTTTTCTGTTGAAACGCAGTATGCACTCAAACATATGCACACTGGGGACAGGGATTTTATCTCAAAAGAAACAGGAATATTGCTACTAACACTGTGGCAGCACATTGTGATCGCAGTGTGAATTTTTATTAAGGATGCACTGCTGATCTTGATAAAAGTGGTATTACCACCAGCATTGATAATCTCACTGACATTCCAGCATCTGTCTTGGGCTTCCTTTCAGCTAAGCTAATTATAGAATTCAGATCAAAGGCCAGGCTTGGTTTTCCAAAGTAAATATTATGACACGGAAACTCCGCCACCCCCACTGTTTGTGCTATCAAACTACCGCATTACGCTACTACTCTTTAACGCCTCCAGAAATCAGCATTAAGCTATGGATATATGGCTATCTCTGAAGCTGTGACAGTTGGAATAGGAAAAGTTATTAAATAACAGAAGCCTTAGCACCAAGCTCGTGGACAAGTTTGACCAGGATTGCTCCACAGTTTGGCAGAGGTACGTAATCGGTAGGGTCCTTTTGGTGCCACAGGTCCTTAAGGAGGACACGAAAGATTTTGCATGGCCTGTGAGTGGCTTTTCACGGCACCTACCATCATGGGCTGGTAGATGAAGAGAGGTGAATTATTTCCAGTGTTTCCAGTCCTGATGTTCTTAGATTTGTGACTTTAACAGACAGCTAAGAATAAGTCCACTTAACATAGCAATGGGAATTTTCCTAATAATACTATCTGAGAACATAAATCACCTTGTCGCATAGCTAAAAAGAGTAACAAAAGCAAGGTGCATTAAGGTGATGAAAGGGACTCAAGGGATTCATTTCTCACTGAAATGCATGAACAAGCAGGGACTTTCAATGTCACTTGCTGGTACATTTTTAATCTTCATTTCACCTTTTCTTTTTCCTTTATGATGGGTTTTCTTCATTTCACAATTCTTACAAGATCAACATTTTTATCAGGTACTAATGTGCTGCTGCATAAGACACAGAGACCAAACTCCCACCCCAAAGCAGTTAATGTTGCTTGAAGTCTCTTCTCCCAAGCATGAAAAGCAGCACAAAATTCCTCAAAGCATGCTCTTCACTCCTGAAGAACTTTCATGGGCAGGACGATGTGATGAAGAACTGATCCATCATATTTCTAGAAAGACAGACTACATAAAATACTGTACTAAACATTGAGGGAGCTGAAGGAGCAAACAAGCAGAGTGGAGAAAGAGGAGTAAATTATCTGGTCTATTCTACCAGTCACAGATGGGTGCTGGAAAATGATCCTTGTCCTAGGTAACCCTGGTGTCAATAGAAAGCTGTGTGGCAGCTCAAGCAATACTTCTGCTACCACCTGGAAAAGAGGCGTTGGTGAGGAGAGGTTGGCCAGGGACCTGAGGCTGTTTTTTGCAGCCCCTTCTCCAGCTTCCCCCGCAAGCACAGCAGACAGAGCACGAAGAACAGAGCTATTGCTCCTTCAGGGTAAACAACCAGAGATCACCAGCATCATTAGCGAAATATGGCATGAGCTGACTGTGACATTAAATCTGTTTTCACTTGCAGCAAAACTATTACTAATAACTTAACCTTTATTTTTCTATAACATACCCAGTTGGATGGTGGGTTTTAATTGCTTTGTTTTAAAATACATACTGTGTACAATCTGCTTTGCTTAAAACATCAGGCTGTAGACCTGAGTACAATTTATTTCAACACCAGCAAGGCTACGGAAGATCAAACTGTCTCTTTTCTCTGTTCTTCCCACACCACCCACTGTGAGGAGACCTTTCTATGCAACTGAAGCAAATGAAACTGCAGGAACCGTTCTGAAGTCATTTTTTGGCACGTGAGTTTTAACTGTACACATATCATCTGATCAAGTCTGAGTTTGGATGTCGAGTTCACATACTGTTGTGTAATCAAACACCCAATAACAGGAAAGTTACAGAAATCCTTTAAATCTATCAGATTTTCATACAGCACTGTTAGAAACCATCTGGTCTCACTTATCTGCTAAATCAAGATAATGGGTGGTATCCATCATTACTGATGAATGATTCACGTATCAGTATCCTCTTGACCCACAGCTGAGGTAATGCGGAGCTATTATTTTCCCAGAGTTGGCTGATTCGCCAACAGAGTAACGACTAGAAGTCAGAGTAGTATTTCCAAAGACTGAATTCCCCAAGTAAATTTTGAATATTTCAGATTTCATTAACTGTCCTCTTGTTTGTTTGGAGATGTGTGTGCTTTATACATTACAGTGAGTGCTCATTTGACCTGAATGTTAAGTGTTCATCACTTTTCAGACCATGAAATCTTTTGAAGAGAAAGCCAGTCGAGTGTTCAAATCTACAACCACAGACACTGCTGTTGGCAAAAGTGTAGGCATGGAGATAAATATAAACAGATGTTTGGGGGCTATTTTATGAAGGGAATATTTTCTTTTCAATGCCCACATTAACATTAATAGGAGTTATGCAAAGGCAGTGAGAGGCTATACCCACCGATGATTAATCTAAAATGTCTACACAACTTGAATGAATCGGGCACTGTGTACAACTGATACTCGAATACAATTAAGACTCCATCGTTGATCTTTATTTTTTAACAGCCCTCTAAACCAATTTTGTTTCGGGTGCTGGAAGCAAATTTAATGAACATAAATACAGGACCAAATTTTGCCAGCTGCTAAAAATGTGTGCAACTCCCACTTATTTCAGTGAAAACATATGCATATGGGGGCAGAATCCAACCCTTAGTGAATATGAAACTATCAAGATAATAAAATAAATTACTTCTGTGGTGTAGATTCTTTAAATCTTTTCAAAGCTCCCAATCTGAATAGGAAAGCTGTTGGTTACAAGATGTAGGATTATTCCCATACCTAGTTAAAGCTGAATTATTTGGAACATTTTTTTTTTCACAAGATGCTGTCAGGAACAGCTTGATTGCTATCTATACTCTCTCGGCTCCTCTCTGCAGTAACATTAGCACTTGTCACATGGAGGATTATGAAGTCCCAAAACCTCTCTTTATAAAACTACCAATTTTAATTACTGGAATTGCCAAACTGGTTTCATACCAATAAGCTTGATATTGTTGTCTTCATCTAGCAACAGATTTTCTATCTTCAAGTCTCTGAAAGAAACAAAATATTTTGAGTGAGCCTCCAAAATAATGAAGCAGGTTCCCATCACTCTTATCAGTGTATTTACAAGATTCATATATAATATCGTGTATAATAAAGTTCCACATTCAAAGCAGAAAGCCCCATGCATTGTCTTCTGTCCAAAACTACCAGTGCTTTCACACACAGTTTCATACCTATTCTGCTTTCACACACAGTTTCACACCTATTCTTCAGGCACAAAATTACTTCATAAACATTTCTCAGCGTACGTCCTGTAATTAAATAGGTTCTTAAAATTTGTCACACACTTAAAAGTTTGCAGAAATCTTATATATCAGAAAAATGTCAAATATATGTTGGAATTGAAAGTCACTCTCTCATTATTCTTCACAACCAAAGGCTCTTCACTGGCCACAGCTGAAGAATAAACCTTCTGCAGACATCTGAGGAGCCAAATGTCTGTCCTCTGCTATTGTCTACAAGAGAAACCAAAATCAACCTTCCATGGGGATGAAGCATCCAAACTTTTTATAGAAGGGGTCAGCATCCCATATGCTAGAGGTGAAAACCGAGGCTCAGGGATTGAAATGACTTGCCCAATGCCATCCAGAAGGTCAATAGCAAAGCCAAGAGAAGAAGCCACACAGGTTTTCTGAGTGCCACATTAGTGCTTTTTCCACCCCAGCATCCTGCCCGACCCCACAGAGCCACTGCACAGATCAAGGACTGGACCAGTTTTGTGAGAGAGAAGATAAAATGAAAAAGCCATCTCTTTCTACAAGACAACCCATCCTTCTTCTGACATGTACATGAGCACATTGTTCACTTTACATGTGCCCTTTCATCACTTAAGAATGTGGCGGTGCTTTCCCAAGTCACGTTCTACAAAGGAAAATATCTCAGAGATCACACACACAAAAGCACCCCAATCCCCCAAAATGTACAGACTAAGCATTAAGTACAATACGATAATGTAATTTAGGTTGCTACACAATTTGTCCATGACTTCAAGCAGTTGGCTGTGTCTTTATCAGAAGAATTTTTCCCCCATCCAGACACAAAATATTTCTAAAAACCAGCATGCAGGGATATCAGATGTGCAGTGATGCTTCTTCCAGCACGCTTTGGAAAAATCTGGATAATAAAGCCATCAGCTATAATTATGGTAAATCAGTGACATCCATGGTATTTTGCCTTTGCAAGGCAAAGGGACTAATGAAGGATGCCGCCATTACAGATGAAGATATAAGGCTTAATAAAATAAGACAAGTAAACCAACCAAACCAAAGTACTTCCACAAGAAAGGATCTAGGAAAGTAAAAAAATAGCTGTGACCAACTCCAAGCCTTTTTTTAAAACATTCCTCTCCATTTCCTTTTATGCCCATGCTGTGTTTCAAGTAAACTTGAGGCAGAAGAGTACTTGCAGGTAGGATACAACATACTTCACCAATACAGCTACAAGGATCTTTTCCAAACAGATGTTTCTATACTGCTGTGAGCATTTCTTGCAGATTTTCCTTGTTTCATGCATTTAAAAAAAAAAAAAAGAGGGAAATACTATATAAATCTTCCGAAGGAGAGTATTTCGTAAATTTCAAGCTTTCCTACAGTGTCCAGCTGAACACTTCGTAAGGAGAGGAGTGCCTTCTGCATCTGTCCTCTTCTCAGAGAAGCAACATAATCCAGTCAAAAAAGCACCAACCTCAGAGACAGGAGGAGACTGTGTTCCCCTCTTCTCTGGCAATAACGCCACGCGTTAACTTGAGAAAACCAGCCTCATAAAAATCAGCAGCTGATTTCAAATACCACGGCAGAGATATAACCACGTTTCGCCATGTTTGGATGAAGACCCAGCCTACAAAGAGATCGCTCTCCAGCCGTGCTCCCGCTCTGAGGGTGAGCGCCGGCTCCGGGTCGTGCACCCCGTGAGCCCAGTTGGCATCCAGGGCATTCCCCTCTTCATTCTTGGGAGATTTCATGTGCCTCATCAGCACTGCAGACCCACCACCCTGTGTCCTCCGAAACGAACTTCATTTGTAGGGCAAACGCTGCTGCTGAGAAATGCCTTTATAGAAGGAGGATGGGGCCCTGCCAGATGGATCTGGATCAACCGATTTCTGCTTCCCTCTACTGCCAAAAAAGGGCTTATTTCTTCACGTCTCGCATCTTTATTGCTTGCAGGTGGAGGTTTTCACAGACAGGGTGATTAGCCTCTAGAAAGATATCGGGGCCAGGAATTTAACAGGAGAGACTGCCAAAAAAACAGTATGGGAAAGAGGAAAACAAAAACCAAAAAAAGAAAAACAAAACTAAAGTGAAATCAACAGAAGCACACGGAGCTTCGGGTCACACATTGCAACGCTCAGCACAATGCCTCAAAGCAAAGAGAAAGATCATTGGAAGCTCTGAGTATATTAAATATCAGCTAAGAAGAGGTAAGACTTTAAAAACAAAGGAAAGGGAATGCAAAAATGAAAGCTATAAGTTGAGGAGAAAATACATGCAGACAATTAGAGTAATAGATCAGTGACAGGAGGGCTAAACATAAGCAAAAGAGATTTAAAAGAATTCAGGGTTAAAAAAGAACACTAAAGGTATTACAGGGCATTTTAAAGCTATTAGAGGAAAAAAATAAAAATATAGTTTCAGTATAGAGTGCAATCAAACCTACCTGGTTAATTAAAGGTGTTTACTCATATGTCTATTCTCAGCAGATTTTTCAGTAAGTGCTAACTGATCTAATAGTCCATATGCACCACATTTTTGTTAACCCATGTCAATAAGCGCTTTTTATTTTGGTGTGACACCAGAAGCTAGGATAACAGGGTTTTACTCCTTGACACAACCTAATGAGAAGATTCTGCAGGAATCAGCCTTAGAAATGAGAATGAAATACTGTTCAAAACCAAACCGAAAAATCCCCAGGCTATGCCACAGTTGTAGAACCACGGCTGCGCGGATGTGGACCCCCTGGGCAGCCTGACCCCCTGCAGCCAGGCTGGCAGTGGAGCATAGAGGTGGCAAGTACTCTCAGCCAGGTAAGCAGAAGGGCAAACAGAGCCCATGTGTCTGGGCAAGATCCTGTCCATCGGGACAGAAAGAAGGGTTAGACAGTGAATATTTTTAGGTGACTTTAACAATGCACCACATTACCCACTATTTCTTTTTTTATGAAAAGGGCAGTGGTACAATCCAATTATACATCTGGCTTAGGCTCATCCTGCAGACAGGACTGATTTCCCTGAACTTCCTAAATGTTTTAGTATGTTGGTTCTGTACAATTCAGACGTAAACCATTTTTCACAAAGAGAGGCTTATCTAAGTTGCTGTTTTGTTTGAATGTTTACATTAATTCACTGCAATGAAAAAAGTAACACCATCGCACTCGAGTGGGTTAGGGAACCCTGAATTTCATGCACTGTACTATAAAACTGTACAAATAAAAACAAACATATCACCTTATTTATTTTAGTCAGTGGAGTTTTTCACATATTTTTAATAGCTGCATACTTCAAGGGAGAATGCAAGTTAACAGCTACAACACACATAGCAACTGAAGTCCTTGCCGAAGTCAGTGGGAAGACCCAGAGCACTGGACAGTAGGTAAACATGGTGGTGCCCCTGAGACCCAAAGATCCTCATAGTTTCACACGTAGCTTACACTTCTTGGTGAGCTCCTAGAGCTGGACACAGCTGCTTTGCAACAGGAAGGGCTGGGTAAGAACTCCCTTACACCAGTAGGACATGCCATACTGTGTGGGCTTGAGGTGGTGAGAAGAAACACAGTTGTTGGAGACCTTCAGTTTCTCTCCTTGAAGTAAATCTGATCTTGTTCCTTACTGTCATAGCTCCTCATAAAATAGGACTAAACAATTATTATTACTTTCCTCTCAAGCAATTTTTTCAGCATTCATTCCTGAAAAACTTCAAAATACCCTCAATGATTAAATACTAAAGGAATAAAAAATCTTACCTTTTCCTGAGAGATTAGTTCCATGATGCTGAGAGTGCCTAACTATGGTACAAGTTATCCAAACCTATGAATAACGAAGACACTCAAGAAAGAGTAAGCTGCATTACCACAACACAGAGAATCAGCATATATTTATGCCTTGTCAGCTTGTGAAGTTAGCAGCACACAGGCAGCATTCCTCACATCATGGGATGGTTTGTTTGGGAGCTTGTTCTTCTGTTGATGGGGCTGGTATTTCTCTGGCTTTGATTAGAGCTTCACAGACCACTTTGGAAACCCCAGCTCCAGCCACTGAGTCCGCCAAGCGACATAAGCCTGCTTCACTGAGCAGGCTACCCCAGGCTTCAGCTGTCAGCTCAGTGTGCTTTTGCAAAGAAGCTTATGCAGTGCCATTGCAGGCATCAGACAGCAAAACTGAGATTTTTGCATTTTGCACTTTATTTCTTATCTGGGGGAGGAGGGATGAGAAGGAAGGTTTTACCAGCAAGCAGCTGCAAAGCAGCAGTGGTTGGCTGCTGTCTCCTGCATCTTATTTTTAATAAAATTTATTAAAAAAAAAAAAAATCACTCAACTACCAACATGCAAGGCTGCTTTCTAGCCCCATGCAACAGCCAGAGATAAAACAGAAAGGTTGCAGAGATTTTGGTTCATCATCACGTCAATGTACATTTCAAAGGCTTTGTTATCAAAATATTATTTACTGAGCCTGATTCTTCTATCAGTCACAGAGTCACTGAATTCAAAGTGTTTGTCTCCATAAAAGAGGAATTCAGTCTATTGTCTTCACTAAAACAATACTTAGTTTGTTTGCAGCAGAGTACTCCAAGAGAGAATGCCCAAAGGTAATTTTGAAATCTGACATAAAATAGAAAGACAAACCAGCTTTGCACTTCAAAAGAAGACTTTGTTCTGTAGTGCAGGATCTGTCATAAATATTGCATCAGCAGCCAGACTCCTGGCACTTAAAATTAATAGGATGGAAGTTATCAAAGCCAACGTGCCAAAGTAGCAGGTACCAAAGCAGGAACCCCGTAGTACCCTGAGCAACTGGATCGTATGGCACCACCTTATGCTGCTAAGGAAAAATATATGAACTCTGCTCAAAACCTCAAGGGATTTTTTTTTTGTGCCTTTCAAACTCCTGATCTCCTTTTAACTACAAAATGGCAGCGGAAGGTGCTAATATGCTACCACAAAGTCAGAAAAAGGGGGAATACAGAAAGCTATCTTTGCTACCAATACATTATTAAATTCTCTTCTTTGACATCCTGACAGTAATTGCACTGAATGGGATTAAATTTTGTTAAAATTACTTTAAAAGGGTTGTTGAGAATTTCCTGTGGGATGCAGTGGCAAGCACCAAGGCTTTCATTTCATTTTCTCTGTTGTCCTTACACTCCCAAGGGGCTTATTGTTCATCCTGCTTTTTGACAGCATGAAGGCCTATGTAAACACCCTCTAAAAAGAGAAAGCTTCACCAGATACTGCCATTTGGGTCTGTTTTCCTCTGTCAGAGGGAAAGATAAATATTCCTACCTGATTCACAGCTGAGCTTATTGCAAGTATATTTTTAGCAACCAACCAGATCTTATGATAGAAGGAATGAAACACAAATGTCTGCATGAAATTATTTATAGAATAGCCACATTTTTTTTAGTGAGCAGCCAAGACATTCTGAACCCTGGATACTCCTCACCAATGATGTAGCTCCTGCACTCAGAAACCTGTAGTCTTCATCCATTGTAGCAGGTGAAATATTTATAACTCAAAATACACCCCTAAGTTCAAACATGAGTTTTGAGTTTCTTTTCCTTCTCTAAATAAAATGAGGTTTCTTGAAGTTGGTTTTTTTTTTTCATTTAAGGTCGTTCACACATCAGTGCCTCTTAACAGAAGCATTTCCACTGAGTTCCAGGTTCCAGCACTTGTCCAAAGACCAGAGTACTTTTCGCCATGCCAAGTCTTAATTGTAAGTCATGAAGCTTAGCAAGTAATATTCATCAAATAATGTAAGCAAATTTCATGCAACTTATTTCATCTGGCTTTTTTTCATCCTGAGTTACAGAACTGGGCAAGTCATCTCTATTATTCCCCAAATAATGCAGACAAACCCACTGGTGATTTTTATAATAAAATAGTCAGTGAATACTTTTCAATGTTCTGCTCCATTCAATGTGAATGACGAAAACATTTGGAGAGAAACAAACAGCAGAGCGCCTTCTGGCCTAGGATGCCGTGTTTTGTTTCACACACAGTGAATGAGAACACCCACAGATCACCACGTAGATGAAAGTGCTGTTATTTTTACCTGCTTTAAAAATAACAATAACAACAACAGAACATTGCCATTTCGTCCAGTGTGAGAATGAATCAGACTTCTGCACTATTTTTTACTCTCTCTTCAGTTGCGAGTTGAGTAGTCTGTTTTTAGAGTTGCCAGGGTCAAAAGCCTGAGATGCTGGAGGACAATTCCTGGGGTAATCATTATTCCTTCTCCCTCTCTTGCTCACACAGAATCAAGAGAATAAATCTGGATCACATCACCAGTGTTCTTCCTGCGTCTCTACTCTGCTCTACATACTTTGTTTGCAGAATACATCAAGATATTGAATGGTTAAGCTAGAGAAAATACTTGCAGATACACTGCCTGTGATTCTGTCAAATTTTATCAGTTTAAGCAAAATTGGACCTGCTCATTACCCAGACAGAAGACTCCCAAGAACAAGCTCTATGCCACGCTGTGATTTGAGAAATAAAGTGGATGGAGCACACTGCCTTTGGGGAAAGGATTAATCCAACATCACAGGGCTGAACGGACAGAGCTCAGCTGCCAGATGCAGCAGAGCATGTCAGTGTTTCCTGAGCTGCTTCCTCCCTCCACTCATGAAGATCCCTCACGCTTCAATCTCTGTGAGCTGTGCTTATGTTGACAAGAGACAGCAGTGAGAAGGGGTGAAGGCCAAAACTTCTGCAAGCTTGCAGCATCTGTACAGGAACTCAGGCTCCTTGGGCTCACGTTATCTCTATTTTTTTTTGATTCCTTATTTTTTTTAACAATATATGGGTTCAAATCCTCTCCAAAAAATAAGGCAATCAAAGCCAAGCCTACCAATCCCCCACAAGCACTTCAGCCACTATGCAAGAGAGTAAATTTTTCAGGGAGAGGAATGGCTGCTGCTGAACTCACTAAGACCTCAGTATGCCTGAGGTTGTATGTGCATGTATGCTTCACAGGGAACACACAGAGAGATTCAAGACAAAAAAACCCCAGTCTTCGGAGTGCATGGAGTTCCATCAAGCCAGATGCACCCAACAGCGTTGCACAGTGGTAGGCAGCTCAGCACACAACTGGGCACAGCTGGAGGAGCTGGCTGTGGGCTGCCTTCGGGCAGTTTGCCAGCTGCCTGCACAGCAGCCCTGTGGATGGGTGTATAAAACGGGCCCCCATGTTCTACAGAGTCAGTGCAGCCAAAGAAATTAAGACCCAGATCCTCAAAAGCATTCAGGCGTCTACAGCTCCTATAATGGGCCTCCAGAGCCTGAGAGGACAGGGCCTACACAACTTGCTCAGCATCGTATGGGAAGTATGTGGGAGTTCAGACTTAACACCAGTTGGCCTAAATTTAGAAAGCATAGCCTCTCCCTTAGACAATAACCTATAAACACCTAAGAACAGAAGAAAAGACATACCAGCTCAGACCAAAGGTCCAACTAGCCTACCATCCTCCTGTCTCCATAGCAGCCAAGAGCACATAAGCAGAGAAAGGGACAAGCAATCACGTGTGATACCTCCACCTGCACTCTCCCAGCCTCCACTCCTTGCTGATCGGCGGCTTCAGGCAGAGGTAGCTACTCCTCATTCAGCAGCCCTCTGCAGACTTCTCTCTAACGAACGCGACCTGTTTCCCCTGGAGCCTAGGTACACTTTTCACTCCATAGCATACTCCTGCAGTGAGATTCACGTCCCGATCATACACCAATTAAACAAAGGTCTTAAAGAAAGAAAGCAACGTATTGCAACAGCTCTGGACCTCTGCTGAGAAGACACTATGAGATGAACTGAACAGTTGTACAGCCTGCATTGTGCTTCACAGTCTTCAAATCTGTGAGGTCCTCTTGAGGCAATCTAACAAATGGAAAGAGCAGAGAAGCAAAAGCAAGGGACTTTTGTGGTCCCATTCAGGCTTCGTCCAAGCTGGGTCACTGCAAGGCTTTGGGCAAATCAGTTCACTTCCCTATATTGCTGTGTTTCCACCAGTAAAACAACTTACACAACCACCTCCACAAAAGAAATAGTGAAATGATTCATTAGTTAACATTGATACGGAGCTTTGTAGAGGCAAAATAGTGCTACTTGCAGGTAAAGAGCCTAACTTTTGCAAAGCACAAGCTTATCTTTAAGGACATGAGTCAGCACGGCTCCGCGTGCTCACCTGAAGTTATACACTTACTACTTAAGTGCTTTCTGCAGATACTCTCTAACAGCTAAAATAAGAGCATCTAAACAATATCACAAAGATGAGCCAAAACAGCTGTCAGAACTGTGGTTTTATAAGGAATTCTCCTTGCTATGCAAACAAAAAGTACTACTTAGGGGCTCTGAGATAAATTTTACCAGAGAGGGATTTTAAGATTACCTGTGAACTACTCCTGCCCGGTGAAGATGTTCAACTGCCAGGATAAGCTGCCGGATATATTTGCGTGCTTCATGTTCTTCAAGTCTTTTTTTCTCATAGATCTTGTGCATTAGGTTGCCACCTGGACACAGCTCCATGACAAGGTAGTAGCTGTTTTCAGTTTCCAGTATATCCAGCAGCTGAGCGATGTTCGGGTGGCGGATCATTTGCTGGATCTGCCCTTCCCGTCGCAGATTCTTGGTGACATAGGTGTCCTTTTTGGCTCTTTTCTTATCAATTACTTTCACTGCCACCTAATGAAAAAATAGAGGAGAAGGGGTTGCTAGCAGTCACGCCAATGATATATATGTATAATAAACCTAAAATTGTATAATAAACTTAAAAAAATAAAAATCAAAAGGATGTCAGTCTCAACTGATACACACCATGGTTTCAGGCGTAATTGCCTAGGTCAAAGAAATAGCTGTTTTTCCAGTCCCACAGACAATTTCTTTCTTTATTCTCTTGTACAATGACAGACGAAAGTTATTGCAAGGAAACAGGTAACAAAGGATAGGAGAGAATCTCATTAACAATACTCAAACACTTAGCACACTTAATGCTGGGCATTTATTTTATCTATTTTCCCAGGAAGTCTTCAGGCTGGTGTTTACAAGTTTAAGTGTTATTTTTGGCTTTTCTTGGCTTTGGATATATGACCTGAGATTATATGCTTCCATGACAAGTTTCTTAAACTATAGCCAAGTGTAAATTTTGCATGATTAAACAGAATAAAAACATGCTATGAAAAACAAAGTAATTTTGGTACCACTCTCTTGGCACATTTCGTTTTCCTCTTTAAAAGGTACATGAAAAATGATCCCCTTGTGACTTCCAGGACCAAGTAACTGCAAAATCCAAGCAGGGAAAACTTTTTTTTCTTTTTAAATGCAAGTTCTCAGTGGCACATCTATCCACAGCTGTCCAAGTGGAATTGAAAGTACATAATAAAACTAAGGAGACTGTGTACCACAATCTACATCTACAACATAGCACATGTTAGCGCCTATCCAAGTGCTCTCCTTCTCACTGCTGGTGCAGAACACAGCATGAGAACAAAAGAATGGGACCAGCTAGGATATCGCTCTGTTCTATGCCTAAAGAATCTTTCCTTTTATTGTTTTAATGGCTTCACCAAATAGCCGCAATAAAAGTATCTGCCTTTTTCCACCTCAAATTTATAGACATTTATTTACTGTGATTTCTTATTTAGGTTGGGTGCTCCAGACTTCCAGGTCATCTGCAAAAGACAAAGATTTAACAGCTCATGCCAGCCTGAGCAACAAAAGGGACCACAAAATCCTCCTCCTGGGCTCCTCATTTCCTCAGAGCTCTGAAACAAAGGACATCCTTCCCTGCATGCACCCATACCCCACGGCTCACCCATCACTACCCAAGTGACAGCTGCTTGTTTGTCAGGATTAGAGGCGAGGAAACATGGTGCTTTGTATTCATGCACGACACCGAGTTTCATACGATGAGAAAGAGTCTTATTTGCATGGGTACAAGTCTAAAAAAAACGCACAGCAAATGCCACACTTGCCCCCCAAGACAGAGGCACGAAGCTGCTGCATCCGCATTTTTGCCATCTGCCTTAATTTGGCCTTGGAGGATCTCCCACATTACCTTAGTCTTACAGTAAGAAGGAATAACGAATGTGGGAAAAACCTCAGTTTTATTTACCCCAGCCTTAACACCCAAACAACGGCACAAGCCCACGAGGCTTCCCTCCACCTCCAGCTCATACAACATTCCTCCTCACGGCTGACAAACTAACTACTCACAGCAAACTTACTTTCAGCTCGTGGGGCTGGTGGGCTTCAGCAACAAGGAGACAAACTTATTCAGAACATATCTGGCTGCCTTCCTAGCTTGAGAAAGTGCCAAACACACATCAAGCAGATGACAGCTCCCAGCCTGACTAGTCTTACCTTTATTTTTTCTGCAAGTGAAGGAAAGGTTAAATTAGTGAACATTTTTGTTTTCTTTTAGAGAGCAAAAGCCACAAAAAATATGGTTTGGAAACATGACAACAACAATAGATCCATACCCTTTGACACAAATGCCTTGAATCAAAGTCAAGTTTTATCAGCAGAGGACTTGAAAAATAAAACTACAGGAACTGGGGTTTCAGAGTCTGTTCTAAGAGCCAGAAGTCAGTATTGCTGAGCGTGTTATTAGCTGGATACGTTTCTGCTGCTAAAAGATCAGTCTGATGAAATACCATTGGTAAAGGGATAAGGCTGAACATCACACACAGGACAGCTGCCTGGGTGAAGCTCAGAGCAGCACTAGGACCATAAACACCTGGAAGCTACATTCCTCACTAGACAAATTAAAGAAAGATCATTTAGTCCTAAAACAAAACAACAGGTAAATCGGAGCTTAACTTCAGCATTTTTGAAAGCCTCAGGTGATTCACCAAGGAAACAGTCTTAAATTAGTATGTTCTTCCATCTAATAAGATAGAATTGAGAACACAGAGGCTTGCATGGATTATGTAGACAGCAAATGACAGAAGTTATTCTGGTGAGGACAAACAAATTCATAGGTTACAGAAACACAAGATGCCAGATTGTTTGCTGGCAGCAAAACACGGTTTCTGCAACAAAGAAGAAAAAAAGAAAAAAAAAAGCTATTTTCCACAGCTGCAGGATACAAAATATGAAGTATTAACAGTATGGAGCAGTAATCTGTTACCCATATCGGTAAGTCACCGCCAATTCATTCACCAAAAAAAAAAACACATCAGTATACATGTGCACTCTGCTTCCCAGGCTGAGCAGAGCTGTAGAAATGGGGGCAACCACCTGAACCCAGGAGACAGAGCCAACTATGTGATTACTTCATGACTCTTTTACTATCACAAAATATTAGCTTTCTGTGCGTTAAGGACATATTTTCTCCTTGACTTTGAAGGATACTTGGTCAGGCATCCTACCTGTCCCAGCAGACAAGCAAAGCTGTTTTCAGACCCACCCCTGACTCTTAGCTACTCCTACTCCCCCTCCAAGGGCCCTTGCATTAGGTCTGAGATCCACCAGCACAAGCTGAAGGAGCTGAAAAAGGTGGAAACAACAGCTTTGTTTCACCGACAGATTTGCATAGGTGAAAGAGAAGAATAAAATACCGGGCAAGGCTATCGCAGACTTGTATCTTCCACACCAGGCATGAAACTAGCTTCTGTGCAATATCGCTTGCTCCTGGGACAGACATGCATGGGACCTTTTGTTCTCTTCTAGGTCTGTGCTGTAGCATAGGGTACCCCAGAAATTTCTCAGACAGATGCCCCCACTCCCCATCTACTAAAAAGTCAGGATCCTTAAAGAAAGCTCTATATGTCTAAAGAAAAAAAATATGGTTGACCCAAACACACAAGCAACCTATTAACTTTCACACGCATGTTCTCCATCGCAGCTTCTAGCTTTTGTTCCCCTTTATTCCTCCTGGCTCTTCTTCCTTACTAATCCTTTCACTTATTCTCCTGTCCTCCTAGTCAATGCCCTTTCCTTTGCACTGCAGCCCTTTTCGCTTTTGCTTTCATGTAGGATGCCTTTGCTTTCCTAAGTGACATGCATCCCATGGTACAAGCATTGTGGAAAGTAGTCAGCACTCTCAGGCAGATCTCCTGTAGGGTTTTTCTTTGCTTGTTTGGGGTTTATTGTATTTTCTCTCATTTACAATTCACTCTGAAGCATGTAGAAGAAATCTAGGGATCAAATTCTGCACTCAGTTACTCCAGGGTTGACTTAGCTAAATATCCCTGATTTTGAGTTCATCCAGAGTTAGATCAAGGTAAGAAAAGACTGAATGTGTCCCAATGTGTTTAATATACATGACCTCCTGTACAGTGTAGATGTTTGTGCATACACCTGAAAACTTCATTCATGCAAAAGGAAAAAGCATTCAGCAGAGAAAATACTGTAAATGTTAGACAACCATAAACCAAACACATTTGAGCTTTCACAGACTACGCAAGACATGTCAGTTATTCAGTTTTGCTCTCCCAAGTTTCAAGTAGGGGCTCTTCGTCTCTGCATCATGCTTATCTCCTGACTAGATTTCTTGGTCAGTATTGAAACAGAAATGAAAAATAAATTATAAAGCAAGCAATTACTCTGAATATGTAGCAACAGTGGCTCTTGACATTCAACACTTTGCTTTAGGTTAAACCTTTGCTGTGTAAATAAATAACTGGTTTAGGTTATTCTGTGTTATGAGATACAAAGATGAGTAATAGGCCATATTTTTGGTTCCCGAGTCCTAGAATTACACTGCTGGAATGAATTATTTTCCTAAGTTTATGGTGTGACACATCATATGAGCAATTGCTGCTTCTCCTGATCGTTGCACTAAAATAGTTCAGGTTGGGCTAAAGCACACTGAAGTGGAGGTGAGGGGGAAGTGCAAGCACCACTCTTCTCCACAGATCCTTGGAGGAGACAGTTATACTGCTTACAGAACCAAGCAGCTAAAACACCATCAGCAAATACAGGCACGTGTCATCACCCAAACAAAGGCACGTGTTTGACACACATGGGCGGAGGATTTTTGCCAGCTAGTGTTTTAGGAAGGTTTGCGAATCTGCAAGAGAGAGGCGGGGAGGTGGAGCTGACTGGCACCAAACTGCACAAAAACAGTCACAGCAAGGCCCTGGGAAAAAGCAAGAAGAGATTGCTTAAAGGACCAAATGTTGCCTGGAGAAATCTGGGAGCCAGGGCTTTGGTTGCTAGATCACTGCCTCATCCAGAGAAAACACATTTTGCATCCTCTTTGTAAACCGTCACGCCTCCACACACAAAATTGCAACAAGGCACAGAAGATGGCTCACACACATCTCAAGTATGACCCGACGCAGCATCCATATGTCCATGCAAGAGGCACATTTCGTGCAGGGCAGTTCCCCAGGCCTGTATCCCAATAACACACCAAGCCCATGGAGGTGGTGATGGGTCTGAGGCACCGGATATGAGGAATCTCCAGGTGCTCAGTGGTCAGAACTCAAAATTATGTTCTCCCCGTCCACTTCTGCTGGCTATTTATAATCTCACCAGTGACACTTGGAAAAATCACAGGTCAAGGAGTAGTGCTTTTGGTAGCGAGGGAAAGATGTTTGCTTACCCAGCAGACATGCAAAGGTCTGCGGAGATCACTGCCTGACTGCTCTGCAGCAGTGTCATTTTGTCAGACTGGCTCTGTCTTACCAAGAGATTTTTCTTTCCTTTGCACAAATCCCTCCATAAATACTCCTCGG